GGTAATAGAAACTTGTCAATTACCAATGTGGCTCATATTTCTATGGGACAGTACTGTAGCAGATGGATATAGGAACACACCTCCATTTATCCTTGTTTTTGATGTCACAACCATTCGATGGTGTTCTATTTGACGATTGCTATAAAAAACTTTTCTTACCACAAATGTTATGGAGCCAGCCCGGGGTAATGGGGCAAATGCAAGCTTTGGAACTGAAATAGTTCAGGCTCAATGCTCAGCTTCCCTACAGGCTGCACGCTCTTGGGCAAATTACATAATCCCTTTATGCCTCTGTTTTCTCCACTAAAAAAATGCAATCAGTGAATGAGTCTGTGCATAGTGTTGCTTTGAACATAGGAGATAGCGCATGTACAGGGATTATTGTGGGCCTGACCCCTAGTCTACCTCAGTAAAAGTAGCTGTTGTTATTGTTTTCATTGTCATTAGTATTTTTTAGCAAGAAAGGATCAAAGTTATGGTCAGTTTCTCTGGTCTCAGACCATCCACTCTCCTGCCCCTGCCTCAGCATTCTTGCTCTCTGATAATGACTCCTAGTACAGCTGTCAGCATCCTCTCCTGGGCCTATGCAAAGCCCTTGGGCATGGCCAGGCACTCACCTGATGGCAGCTGCTGGCCCAAGAGGCCCTGAGGGCTCCCCAGCTTTCTGAGCGTGTGGCCTTGCTCTCCAGGTGCATCCGCAGTTGTGCCTCCAGCTCCTGGCTGATGCTCTCCAAGGCATGAACCTTGGCCATGTATTCCACCAGGCAACCCCCCAGGTCTTCAACGGTACTGAGGTTCCTCTCCAGACCTGGAGCTGGTGCTGTGGCCAGACCTGAGCTTCGCAGGCCCTGCAGAAAAACACTGCTGATGCCCAGGGCCCGGCGTGTCACTCGAGTGCCCAGGCCACTTGTGTACCCACTGGGCGCCATCCCTACATAGACTCTGGGTGCTCGGATGAGACCACCCATGGCATTGGTCCTGGAGGCTGGGGGGCTATCCAGGGAGGATGATGACCATGTTCCCCCGAAGGATGCCCTATGCCTCTGGAGGGGCATGCTGGAGCTGGCCCCGGTGGGCATGTCCACTACCACCTGCCTTGTGCTCATCTCCCCTTCTGCCTCTGCTCTGCCTAGTGGGTTTGTAGAGCCTAGTGGCTTTTGATTTTCAGCCCCAGTGTCCCTGTGGCCCGGTCGTGGGCCTCTCTGGAAGCTTCTCTACCCCCAGGGCTGCTTTGTCTGCTGTTTTCCATGAGCTTCCACCATTCACCCAGCTGAAAGAGAAACAGTCCCTGGCCAGGGCTGTGTGTAGAAAGGCACTCATGCATTCTCTGCAAGGTCATGTGTCTGACCTCCCAGATTTTTCCACTGGTAGTGGGGGAGGCTGGATCAGTGCTGTGGAGGGGGCTCATCTGGTCTGTGTACTTCACTACTTAAGAGAGGGCAAAGCAGCCCCATTTCACAGATGAATGAACTGAGGCTCAGAGATCTCAAATCACAAGTGTAGGGAGTGGCTGACCCAGAACTGAATCCAGGTGCTCCAGGGCCGATCTCAGAGCTTTCTACATCTTTGTGTGTGCTGTGTATGTGAATGTGTGAATAAGCATGCGTGTCTACACAGATAATAGATGGTGGAAATGGATGTGAATCACCCATGGTGGGAGGCAGTCCCATGAACTCAAGAGAAACAAATGAAGCCTCTTGCCTCTCTTATTCTCCCTCAGTCTTGGCAACAGCTTCAGGTCCTCATGTGGCATTTTTCTTACCTCGAACACTGCTGTTATCAGCTGCTTGACCTTGGCCATGTTGCTCCACTTCTCTGGACCTGACTTCCATGCACTGGCCTGAGCTTTCTCTAATGCACTAGACAAGGGATCCTGGGCAAATTCGGGTCCCACACGTTTTGGGCACCTATTATGCTGTAGCTGTTCTGTACACTTCTGTTTCTCCATTGCCAGAAAACTAATAAATAAGAACAAAGAGAAGGTTTTCCAGTAAGCTCTTTAAGGGTGCTTTGAGTTAGGATTTGATGACACACCCTGGGTTTTAATTCCTACTGTAAGCATCTACTAAGGCATGTTGAATTCACATCTTGAATGCTTTTCTGGGTCTAGAAAAGATCTTCTGAGATCACAAAATGGACCTAAACCCCACTGCACTTAAGTTTTATCCCAGAGAAACCAAGTAGCCAAAACCCAGAGCTGGATATTTTTCCCAAATTCTGCAACATGGGGACATATCTCAAGTGAAAGAAGGGGAAGGGAGCCAACTTCTGGTATGTATTGAATCTATCCTAGTGTTGTATGTGGCTTCCATACTTTATTTCACTGAATTCTCAATTCAACCTTAGGAGGTAGATAGAGGGTTGACATGTGCTACTATTTGAGTTGTGCACTGCACAACTTCAGAAATACCATCACATGTCAAAATATGGTTTATTAATTCCTTATGTGATGAGGACACTGAAAGCTCCAATGACTTGTCCAAGGTCTCCTGTTCAGAAAGCAGCAGAGCTGGGATGGGAAGGCCTCTTCTGACTCCTAGTCAGAAGAGTCACTCCTAGTGACTTATCTAGGACCCTCTCTGTCTCAGAACACCTAGAGAACTAGGGTAGCATCCAAAATCACATGAGCAGAGTTTAAAACTACTATTACATACCGGAATATTCTATGTGCTTTTCCTTGCTGATAAAGACACCACAACTCCTTTTTCCCCTTCTACTTTATCTGTTTGAGATGACACAGAAGATACTTTATAAATATCAATGTTGGTTGTATGATTAACAGTTTAAGGAACCAACTTGATCAAGTAAAAGCTGGTAGTGTCCCTTATTTCTTTAGATGTCCACCTCTGGTACACCCTGTAGGGCCTACAGCACCCACCAGACTGTTATAATAACATCCTCCTAACACTGGGTCTCGAGGAACTGTAGGAATTCCAGGGTATGTCATCCAAGGCTAAATGAAGGGTTCAGGATACTGATTAAGTTGTTTGCACAGGTGTCATGTTTACGAACTGTTATTTTCTACAGAATGATAACTTCCAGTGCCCAGGTTAACCCCAGCTTTCTCTTACCCAAAGATATGTACAGCAAAACCCCCAGCCCCAGGGAAGGAAGAGGAGAGAGAAGGGATGTACCTTACTTGACACCAATGTTTCCAAAGACCTAGAGAGAGATAATTCCCTTTTGAAGAAATCACAAACATGTTCTAAAGGATTTGTATAATTAAATGACAAATTGCTAATCCTATTAGCTCATTACACTCATAAAACCCAACTTATTGTTAAAATAGATTAAAAAATACAGATGAATATTAAACAGTGTCAGTACTTAAGGAAGACTTAAAAATTATTTTAAAATGAAAAGAATGCAAAATGTATTAGCAACTTAATCCTCTGGCTAATAAAATAAGTTTATTTATATATACATGGTAGTTGAATTCTGTGGATAAGGAAAAATAAGTCATACATCCACATATATGTATATATAACATATGTATCTTTGATTACATATATTATATATAGTTTTACTTTACAAACAGATTTCTTTATATACACACACACATTGCTATAGTAAATGCAATAGCTGACAGAAATATAAGGTTAAAAGATCAGACAGCAGCACGCTGGTAAATGAATCTCAGAGCAACATTTAACCTGCTTCCTTGTGAGTTGAAGAATCTTTAAAGAGAGACAACCACCAAACTCATGTTAAGTAGATCCATACAACATTGAGAACACACATTTTTGAAGGCCATCTTTTTTTTTTTAAAGGAAACACATGAAGAAAGGAAAGTTATGATAAAAAGACCACAGTAACAACACGAACATATGAATCAACATTCAAGTCAATTCCCAATCTGACTATAAGAACATCTATATTCAAAATATACTATCAAACTAATTTTCTTTTAGAGAAAGAGTCAAAGCAGTTCTCTTCTCTCCCCACCAACTACTAGGAAAAAAAGTAAGAAGCAGCCATCTGTGGAAGCCCCTGGTACATCTCTGTGGGTCTGACCCCTCCTGAGTGTGGGCGGGGGAGGTGGCTGGCCCACCACCAGTGAAGACAGCCATGCAGGGGAAACTAGGAAATGCGCACTGGGTGGGAAGCCCATCTGCGGACCTACAAGGTCTGCAGTGCTAAGGAGGGAAAAAATGATGTCTTCTCCCAAGCAATCTACTTTGGCAATCTTGTTTTTGTAAGATCACAGGAGGGTTTAGAAAATTACAGCTCCACGCTTCAAGGCCTCTTACATAAGCATGTTCCTCAGGGGCACAGTGAGATGCCTTTTGAGAAAACAAAGCTGAATCCCAATAAACATTTGATCCTTGAGGAAGGGTAAGCATTCCCAAGCTCCAGGCTTAGGATCCACATCTAAACCATCTCCAGAGAAAGGCACAAGTTTGAAAGCAGATGTGGGTGTTGGAGAGGAAGCAGGAATGTGCTTGGGGTGTGGGGGGGTGCTTTTTTGTCCACCAGCACAAGGCAGTCCTGTTGTTTAGCATAGTGGAAGCTCCCTGTTGTGTGACGTTAGGGGGATGTGGCCTTGGGATGCTGGATGTCCTCTACAGACTCCTGAGGGCTGCATGCTCCTGCCTGCTGTCCTGAACTCAGACGAAATTAGCCTTGACAGCCAATGGTGTCACTGTGCGAGTGCAGAATACTCATTCACTGGGGGTGATGAGATGTTCGCTTTACCTGCTCTGTGTGAGAGTCTGCTGCTTCTCCCTAGGTGGCCCAGTTGCCTTCACTGGTGTGCATAAGGAGGGGGAGGAAATGGAGTTCCACTGAATCAAGAAGAACCGGAGCTTTAAGAAGCACTCAAAGGGCCGTGCTTGTGACCATTTTAACATTTCACTTCTACAGGTCTGTTTCTTCCCTCACCTGTCTGGGGCTGCTGGGATCCCCAAATGCTCAAGGACAGTTATTAAGAGAAGCAATCAATGCAACTGCTTTGCTTAGAAATACCTTTATTTTATAAAGCCACAGATCAATCTGTAAAGTTTTTTTTTTTTAAACCACACTTATAAAAAAGATGTTGACAATTCTTAGGAAAAAAAAGCTGAAAATGTTTCTTATTAAGTCAGGGTTACACAAAGATTATATTTATAATATATATTTGTATATTTATAATTTAGAGACGAAAGGTAGGGAACAGCAAAGCGAGAGCTGCTGCGGTTAGATCTCCGATACTTGATCATTTCCCACAAACAGTGTTTCTTGGCAGAAGGGGTTGACGAGGACCATCCCAGTGTCTCTGTAGTCACCATTGGCTGGGGATCGGGGTTCCGAGAGCTGGTCCTGGGAGGAGGGAGGGAGGAGACAGTATGTACTCGGAGGGTTCAGGTGGTGGCCGTTCATAAAGAAACACACACACACGAGGACATCCATTTCCATATGAGATTGCTTGGTAAACATTTTCATCGTCCTCACTGCCAATGCTGAAGTGCAGAGCCCTCTCTGTTCTTCCTTCAGATTTTTTAGTAGCTTCTGGAAAAGATTTCCTGCTCCCTGAATGACTCCCAGCTCAGGTTGCCAGAGATGGCATTGCTCTCCATGTAGAAGTCTGAGAGGGCTTGCCGTGCATGATACATGGCACATGGCTTACTGACCTCGTGGGCAAAACTGGGTCTGTGTGGGTCTTGGACTCTCATTCCTGCCTCTTTCTCACAGCTTTCTGGGAGACCTGGTGGCTTTTCCTTCCTGCACTTTCACACCCTAAACTTCTCACCTCTTTCCTCTCCTAGCACCCACCTGTCTGAGCCTTTAAGGGCTCATTCCTCCCCCTCCTGAGTCCTCCCAGAGCCTGGTCAGAATTATTGTCCCATTTCCTGTAGCACTAGATGTCCTGAGGTGAAGACATATGAGTTTCTACGTGACAGTAGGTGGTTAGTGAAAAATTCAGTGTGTCTACACAGTCCCAGAAATGGAAAAGCCTAGAGATAAGCAATTCACTGATCAGGTCTTCTGAGCAGTTTTGGCTTCAATGAACAAGGATTGCAAGCATTTGTGGCCCACTAGACATCTGTACTCAGGGTCAGGCCCAGGGATTAATTCAGGGGAAAAATTAGCTTGTTCCAATTCTAAAAAACTGATGTCTCAGAACCTGTAGGCTACTTCAGGGCAAAGCCTCAGTAATATGCCAAGGTAGAACTGGCTTAGGCCAGACTTGCTTAAGTGTCTTCACTTGAAGAAGATATGATTAATTCTCTGAAGTTTATTTTAAGCAAAACATGTATAATTTTGGGGGAGTACATATTGCCTTATGGAAAATAAGGAAAGAAAGGAAGAAAGGCCATTTGTTGGTGAAATGTCTTTTCAGAAGATAAAAATTTTCTTCAATGTCTGGAATTGACTGAGCATCCATCTGAGAGGTAGACATGGGGTCAGCCCTCTGAGTAAGGAAAACAGGGCATCCCCTTTTTCCATTTGGCTTTGGGTTGAGCTGTGGAGGGAAATTTTGTGGCCAAGATCTGGTGTGTCATTTTATAGTTCTTACAAAGCAAGTGTTCACCAAGGCTGAACCGTGTGGATACTTCCCACAGTGTGAAAGAGAAATTTACTTAGAAAATAACAGACAAGAAAAAAGAAAAAAAAAAAAAAAGAGGAGGAACAGCCGGAAGAGGGGGAGAAAAAGTATGGAAAAATTTCCAGGCATATTTTGAGCATTACAGTTTTGCCTGTACAGCCTGGATTTGTGTTTGGCTGCTTTCATCAACCCAGACGGGGAGCAGGGCACCAGAGAAACTTGCTTAGGCAAAGCACTTGGCAGCCACCAAAGCTGGCAGCTACACAGCAGGCTGAGTGCAGCCTCAGGCTGTGGTGTGCGGGGCAGATGCCCTGTGACCGCGTGACCCTGCTATGGGTGGTCCGCAGGGCCTGCGTGTATCCAGGGAGTTGGAACAAATTGTAACATTACTCTAAATAAAGCAGAATGAGGGCAGCCGACCTGCTGGGAGGGAAACAGTGATAAAACCCATTTTGAAGCCCAACTGACCTTCCTGCTGCTGGTTTTCTTGCAATCTCCTGACCTGGGATGGTGACTGTGGCAGGGGTGGGTTGGGTGGCTGGGTGGGGCAGCCTCTACTAGAACCTCTGGTTTTTGTCCGATGGCAACCCCAGTGCCCTGGGCTGGAATGACTAACTAGGATGCTGCATAAGCATGGTCTTTTCTATAGTACGCTCACAGACACTGTCCTTTGCCTTTGGTTTTCATTTACCAGTTTGCAAAGAGAATATGAGAAATTTAGAGTTCAGAGATTCAGAGCCAACACTCAAAATGTGGCCAGCCCCTTTGCTAACTTACCCATTTTTTTACTCACTAGAATAGTTCTCAGGAACACTTTTTAAAAAAAATTAACATATAATGTATTATTTATTTCAGGGGTACTGGTCTGTGATTCATCAGTTACTTACATAATTCATAGCACATACCCTCCCCAATGTCCATCACCCAGCCACCCCATCCCTCCCACACTCATCCCCTCCAGCAACCCTCAGTTTGTTTCCTGAGATTGAGTCTCTTATGGTTTATATCCCTCTCTGGTTTTGTCATTTCATTTTTCCCTCCCTTCCCCTACGATCCTCTGTCTTGTTTCTCAAATTCATCCTATCAGTGAGATCACATGATAATTGTCTTTCTCCGATTGACTTATTTTGCTTAGCATAATAGCCTCTAGTTCCAACCATGTCATTGCAAATGGCAAGATTTCGGGGTTTTTTTGTTGGCAGTATAATATTCCATTATATATATATGTGTGTGTGTGTGTGTGTGTGTGTGTGTGTGTACACACACACACACATATATATATACACACATGAGTGGATAAAAAAGTGTGTGTGTGTATGTGTATATATGTGTGTGTGTGTATGTGTGTGTGTATATATGTATATACACACACACATATATATACACATTTTTTATCCACTCATCTGTCAATGGACATCTAGGCTCTTTCCCTAGTTGGGCTACTGGGGACATTGCTGCTATAAACACTGGGGTACACGTGCCCCTTCAGATCACTACATTTGTATCTTTAGGGTAAATGCCCAGTAGTGCAATTGCTGGGTCATAGAGTAGTTCTATTTTCAACTTTTTGAGGAACCTCCATACTGTTTTCCAGAGTGGCTTCACCAACTTGCATTCCCACTAACAGTGCAGGAGGTTTCTCCTTTTTCTTCATCCTCGTCAGCATCTGTCATTTCAGGAATGTTTCTAAAAGCATTTTTATTTTTTATTGAAGTATAGTTCACATAAAATATTATATTAGTTTCAGGGTTATAACAAAGTGATTCAACAATTATGTACATTATGAAATGCTCACCACAAAAAGTGTAGTTACTAATTTTGCTATGCAAGATGTACACTGACCACATTAAAGACCAATGCTTTCATGAAGCCTGTTGCTCTGTCCTTTGGTTCAACATTTTTATTGCGCTTCCACTGTGTGTTAGGCTTTGGGCTGGGTGATGAGTCAATCGTGAATAAAACTTATGGTTCTTTCATGTGATAAACATTTACCAAGTATCTACCATGTGCCCAGAACATGGTAGGGATAGAGCAGTGAGAACAAACTTCTGCCCTCAGGCAGCTTATACTCTACGAAGAGACAGATAATGGGCCAGTCAACAGAGAATGATGCAGTGTCAGGTGGTGAGAAGTGCTCTGAAGAAAAATAAAGCAGAAAAGAAGATAGGAAACCATGAGGTGGAGGTGGGCTTCTACTCTGTATAGAGAAGTCAGGGCAAGTTTCCCTGAAGATGCAGCACTGGAACAGAGCTCTGAAGGAAGTGAGGGATGGAACCAGGAAAAGAGCATTTTACACAGGTGCAAGAGAAATCTTGTGTTTTTGGAAAGACTGTGTTGAGGAAGAGCCAAAGGCTGGTGTGGCTCAAGTGTGTGGTCAGTGCGAGGTCTGGCAGGAGGAGGCCAGGGAGGTGGGCAAGGCCAGCCTGTGAAGGGTCTGGTAAGAAGAATCTGGATTTTGTTCAAAGTGTGAAGAGGAGCCATTTGAGGGTTGGGAGACATGGCAGACATGGAGTCCTTCCTTGAGAAGATCATCTGGCTACTGTGTGGAGGACAGGAGGCAAGATGGTAGCAGAGACCTTGTTTTCAGAAGTTACGGCAGCAATCCATGATTTGAGGGAGGCAGCAATGTGGGTGGTGAGAAGTACTCCCATATCAGAAGAACCAAGAGGATCTGCTGATAGACTGGATGTGGAGTGTGTGAGAGGAGAAGGGGACTGGCAATGCAACTTATGTAATGAGAAACACCAGGGAACTTCTGGGCGTTTGGGTGGGGAGGGGAAGTCAGCAGTTCAATCTGGGGAATGTTGAATTTGAGATGCCCATGAGACATGCACAGCAGTAGCTGGGTACATGAGTCTGAGTGCAGGGGAAACGTCAAGATCAGAGGTGGAAATTGCAAGCCAATGATGTAGAGCTAATATTTAAAGTCATGAAACTAAGTAGAGAGAAGAGAAGCAGTGGGAAGGCTGAACCCGGGCACTGCAGTGATTAGAGGCTGGCCAAAGGACTGAGAGCCAGTGATGGAGACTGAGTAGGAGCTGCTGAAAGGTGGAGGAGAGCCAGAACAGGATGGGGTGAAGACAAACTTTCTGAGGAGGAAATGACTGATGGTGCTGATGCTGCTGGTAGATTGAGTAAGAGGAATGCTTAGAACTGACTCCTGGGTTTTACAATGTGGAAGCAACTGGGTATTCTAGTTGGGGAGTGAAATATTAAACTAATATCAGGTCAGCAGCTACATCCTTACAACTCTGGTAAGTGCCAAGATGGAAAAAGCATAAGGAGCTGAGACCATATGTTAGGAGCGTAGAGCCCAGCGTGGCAGGTCAGGGAAGGTCTCTCTGAGGAAGTGACAGTTATACTGGGCCTGAACAATGGGTAGGAGTTACTGAGATGAACAAAGGAAGGGGCGTTGAGGAGGGACAGAACACATCCCAGTAGAAGGAACAGTCATACACAGCCCCAGAATGGGTGTAACTTGGTGTTATAAAGAAATGAAAAGAAATCCAGGGTGGCTGGAGCTCAGCAGATGAGATGCAGAGTGGCATGACGTGAGGCTGAATGGTTGGGCCAGGGCCAGGTCCACCTCATGGGCCCTTCAGAAGACTGTGAACTTTAACTTAAGAGCATCAGGAAGCTACTAAAGGATTCTGAGTCTGGGAGTGATATGATCACATTTATGTTTATAAAAGCCCACCCTGGATGCTGTGGGGGATGGATCCGCAGGGGAAGAAGGGACTGTCTCCAGGACTCTTTGCAGCTCTCACTGCTTTTACTCAGATGTCTGCCATTTATCTCCCGGGCCATCTCGATTGCATTCTAGCTGGCCTTCTCATTTTGTCTGTCTTCCCGCCTGTCCTCCCATCCATTCATTCATCCATTAAACCACCCTACCCTTCCTTCCTAGCCGTTCACCAAGCACATATAGAGTACCTTCACCAGGCCATCAGCACAATCTTTTTAAAACCAGGTCACACATAGCTCAAAACTTTCAATGACCCTCTACCACCCAAGAGTGAAGTATAAACTCCGTTCAAGCCTATTCAAGCCCACACCTAATCAATCTACCTTTCCTGCTGTGCCCTGGCCTCTGCCCCCACCTTCTGTGTGAGAGGGGAAGGAGCACCCGGTCAAAGCCTAGTTCTCTCACTGGCCAGATGGGTATTTTGGGTAACATTTCCTGACCCAACGTATTCTGTTCTCCCATGATATGCTGTGTGCAGCCCACATTCCCACCTTTATTCAGGTTACTTCCTTTGTTGGAATACCTGTCAAAATCCATTTATCCTTCCTAACCCCCACTGCAAAGGCTTTCTTCTCCTAGATTTCTACAGCTCTCTGCAACTCTTCTTGTATCTCCCCCACCCCCCAACCACACCTTGGAATCTGGGCCCCAAGCTCTCATCTTCATAATCCCCAGAGACTGTCTGCCACAAAATGGGTTCTCAACAAATACTTATTGAATTGTTCCCAGCAACCCAGGGAATTTCAGGAACAGGGCTTCCTGAGCTTTAACATGCATAGAAAGCACCTGGGAAGTCTTGCTAAAATACAGATTGATTCAGCAGGGCTGGTGTGGGGCCTGTAGTTTCCTGGGTGCTGCTGCTACTGGTCTATGGACCATCCTTTGAGGAATAAGACACTAAGAAACAAGCAGATGCTCTGTGGGTTACTCTGCAGCCTGTGCTATTCCCTGTGGTGGGGCTGGACCTTTCAGGGGCACCTCATGGTTTGGGGCTCATTACCTCAGAGGTTTCAAGGGACTGGATCTCCCTTGGTAACTCCACAGCATGCTTATTGAAGTAGTCCATGGTGATGGCATTGTTCCAGTAGCTCAGGTTGTTCTCTGGATTGGCCGTCTTTTTCTTCCTCCTCAGGCAGCACACTGTCAGCAAGACAGCTGTAGAGAGAGTCCAAGTTAGAGACGGGGGAGGGAACAAGCATGGGGCCAGCATCGCTGAGTGACAGAAGCAAGTCTCCAGGTGAATTTGTGATGGCCATAAATTCAGCCACTTACCCCGTTTGTTAATTTGTTTGTCGGTTCAACAACTATCTACACATATTGAATGCCAACTTCAGGCCAGGTTCTGGGAGAGAGGGAGTGAAAAAAAGACAAGGCTGCGCTGTGTCATAAATATCCCTCCTAGTTTGTATATGGAGGAGCACAGAGAGGGTCACATGATATATAATAAAACGAATATAAGGTAAATTCAGACAGCAGTAATTGTTTAAAGAAAATAAAATAGGGTGAAGTGAGGGAGTGAATGGAGAAGAGTTGAGGAGAGAATGCTTTAGGGTGGTCATGAAAGGCTTTCCTCAATGTGTGATCCTATCCGTCCAATCTCTGAGACTTGGAGCTCCAGGGAGGAATGAGTATATTTGGATGTTGTGAATGAACAGGTATGTGATCAGAGGGGCTTCAGCTTGCCAAGAGGGAAGGCTTCGGAGGTTGGGGAGCTAAGATGGCCTGTCCAGGCTCACATAGTGCTGAGTAATGCTTTAACAAGGATGAGAGCAGCCCTCTTAGGGAGAAGCCAGTAAATGAAGACTGGGCATTTCCCTGCCAGGATTACCATCACCATAGCCTGTGGGATGGCTGAAACTCCAGGCCAGGGGTGGGCAGGGCAGCAGTCAACATCTTGGAGGTGATGACCATCTGTGCTGGGGAGAGGGGACCCCAGATCCGGCAGTTCAGAGGCTGGCGCCGTCATGGCAATAACCAGCAGGGGGCAGCAGAGTGCCAGCTCTGTCCAAGGCAGCCTGAGGATTTGGCCAGCATCAAGGGGCCTGTACATGTCAGGATGTGGGGTATCTGCTAAAGTTGGCATCCATATAGGCTGAGACCTCAGGGCCCATCGCTTCAGTCCCTGCGGGATAACAGGATTTCTGTAGCTCTCTTCTCAGCTGCTGGCCTTGCTGGCATCTCAACCTGAAAAGACCTCCAGGCAAGGGCAAGAGATTGGGCAAGTTTCTATTGATCTGATCTGCTTTGATCAGAAAGACTTCTCATTTGCTCACTACTTTTATAGGTACCCTTAAAAAAGTTTTAAAGATATAAAGGACATTTCTGAATGTTTGAGCTAAAAGAAATTTCAAACTGGTTGGTACAGACTTTTAAACATTGAAAAATTTCCAAACTCAAGCTCCCTTTTTTCTTCTCTCCCTTCCTTCCAAAGAAGGACATGATTGAAGGATGAGTGGGGTGAGGTGGGGGAGCTGTAGAGCTCAGTCTGAAAATGCTAATGTAGGACATCTCCTTATTTTACAGATGAGCAGACTGGTCCAAAGCATCCTGCTGACTTGCCACAGGTCATAGGTCTGTGAATGGCAGGGCTATCGCAAGGCCCCAGGTCCTGTCTCCCCTTTATTCTTCACTGTCACTACTTTTCCATCCTGTTCCTGGAACTTGGATGGAGAAATGGTCTGGGGGAATTCAAACTGGTGAAACTGAAGCCATAAAGCTACTAACCTGTGTTGGGATGGGTTGCAGAGTCTAGGTCCTCTGACCCCCAGTCCAGTGCTCCCTCAAGCCCACACTGCCCCTGGCTCCAGAGCCTGGGCCTGTTTAGGACACAGGACCAGGACTCTGCCTTGTGGGAAGAGCTGGCCCTGTTGCAGGATGGTCTGGGGGTTTGGAACAGGGAGCTCTGTTCCTAGTTTTCTCCCCTCAAATGTTAGTGCTTCAGGCCCGATTGTTTCTCTCAGGGAATTCCCAGTGCCTCTCGAGTGCTCTTTCATTTACAATAGAAGCTGGCCTGGCCACAGAAAGAACTTGGGCATGGAGTCTAAAAGGCCTCGGTTCAAGTCTGACTCTGCTGCATATTACATTAGGTAAGTCACTTCAGCATACTTGACTACTATGGACTCACAGGGCTGTAATGAGAGCTAGAGATCATGAATGCAAAATGCTGAGCACCCTGCCTGATGCACAGTCAGTACTTATTTAATGAGAGTTTTCTTCTTGTTCTTCCAGCACCCTCCACAAGAGAAAGAAAAACTGGGCTACATGACTATTGAGCGGCTCAAGGCCAAGAGACCACCTGTGATTTAGAACTTTCATTATTTTGCTGGCCTGACCTTTCACCCAAGAAAAAGTACAATTCAGACTTATGGAGTCGCTAATATATGTCCAGTGCTGACCTAGGCACTTTACAGTCTGATTTAACCCACAAAATAGCTCTCTCAGGAATGTACTGTTACTCTTCCTCTTTGCACAAGAGGCAAATGAAGCTCATGGAAGTTAACAAAATTGGTCTTGATCACTCAGGTAATTAATGGAATGTGACCTGGGTCTCCGTGACCCTCAGGGAAATGCTTGTTGTCTTATATTGCCCTGAACACTGCAGGGAACACATCTGAGGCATGTGGAAGCACTTGTAAATGACACAACTCTGTGCAAACACAAGCCCATGCCGTCATCTGCCTTTTTTTTTTTTTTTTTTTTTTTTTTTTTAAGAGAGAGAGAAGGAGGCAGAGAGAGTGTGAGCAGGGAGGGCTCGGAGAGGGAGGAGAGAGAGAATCTCAACTGGGCAGCACACTCAGTGCAGAGCCCAATGCAGGGCTTGATCTCATGACCCTGAGATCATGACCCAAGCCAAAATCAAGGGTCAGATGCTTAACCGACTGAACCACCCAGATACCCCTGGCATCTGCCTCTTGAAGGCCCTGAGCTAACACAGAGGATATTAATCCTATTTTTATAGGTGAGAAAACACTGGGCCAATGGTTAAGTAACCTGTCCAAGCCCCACAGGTGACTGGCAAGAGAGGTGCTGTGACATATTTGATTCCACGAGCCAAGTCTTTCTATTATACTAGGCCTCTTCTCCAGGGATTTATGCAGGTTTAATGTTTAAAAAAGGTTAGAAGACAGGAGCTGTCACATATTTCAGTTCGGCTCCTTCACTTTGAAGATGAGAAAGCTGACATTCTGGAAGGGAGGATTGGTCCAGTGGTGCCAGCCTGAGGGACCAGCCTAGCTTGTGGACAATCACTTCCTTTCTTTGGGGTTTGTGCAGGAGGTTCAGGGAGGCCTCAGGGTATGGAAGGATGCCAGGCTGGACATGAGGATATAGGCCTGGGGAAACCAGGTTTGGGGGCTCATGGTCAGCAGCCCATCCTGGTGGGTGGGACTAGAAGGCTCCCAGCAGGGGTTGCTGGTTGGGAAGCACAGAGAAGAGGTAAGAGAGCATGGCACTCTGGTCCAGCTGAGGTGACAGCCCCTGGACAACCCCGCCTGGCCCTGGAGCTACTCTACATCCCCCTTGCTTCAGTTAGCTCACAGGCCCCAAGGAGACACACTTCCTTACTCCCTCCTGGTCACACTTCCTTCTCATTCCAATTTATTCTACTCTTTTCATGGAAAGAGTAACTCTGACCCATGTTTTCTTATGTAATTACTACAAAGTCATTTTGGACCTATAAGAGATACATATATCTAATGGCATTCACCGCCAATCTGGAACGAAGCCAGAATGCTCTGGGGTGCAGTGCACATGGACCCTCACACATCTGGGGCAGAGAGAGGTGTTACTCTGTTTCAGCCAGGCTCAACCTAGATTGGTGGTGAAAAACATCTGCAGCTGGTCTGGTTCCTGTTCTCACCATCCATAAAGACTTTCATCTTTTTCAGGGAGGCAGGGTGAAGACATTCTTGAGAATGGATTTGGTATGTGCCACAAAACTGACCTTCTGATGAAAGCCCAGAGCACTGACTGGGGTGTGTGAGGATCAATTCAGCGCCAGGCCCAGAGGGTTCTAAAAGAAGGTGGTGGGCTCTTTGCATCCTGATGGTGGCAGCAGAGACCAGCTCAAGAGCCACATGGCATCTCTGCCCTAGCCAAATGTGGCCTGGATCCAATCAGTTTTGGTTTTCAGCACATCTGAACCCCTGTGTGGCCGTCTCTGGCATGGCTCAGGAGACAAAGCATTTCTCAATCCTCGCACATATATCTTTCCAGCCATTGGGTAGGGCTTACGATCTGGAAGGGTTGGTGGAACTGATGACAGTCCTTTTTGGGCAGGCCTGAGATTTGCTATGATAACCCCCTGTTTCCAACAGAAGCAGGGGATTCAACCACCTGCCTAGCAACTCTGGCCTCCTGAAATCTGGTTTCTGGTACATGGAGGAAACAAGGTCAGGGCTGGTCAGGGCTGGGACAAGGTCAGGGCTGGTCTGAAAAGCCAGATGTCAGGAAATGCGTGCACTTTGCTACTAACCCAGCCTGCCTGAAATATATGGTAAACTGGCAATGAAGACCCTTCTTTGAGGGCAGTAGAGTGAGCTTTAGGATAAATGCAGCTGCTGGAAGAGGTCTGCTTATCTGATGACTGGAGTGGGATTAGGCTATGAAAGCAGCCTGGATATTTACTCATCTGTGCTTTGAAAGAGCACAGTATTTTGAAGCTGGACAAGTATTCTATCTTGATGTCCCTTGCATCAGGGTCTTCACCGGGCCCCAAAAGGATGGTCCCACAGGAGTTGGGGCCATGACTAAGGATAGGGAACTCTATGTGGAAGCAGCTAGGACTAAGGCAGGGATCTTGGCAAGTAGGGCTTAGGGGAGCCTCCAAAGTGCACACTGGGAATGCAAGACAGACGCTGAAGGACATGGAGTCTGTGGTTCCAAGGGGCTGTGAGAGTCCACTTTGAAAAAAGGGTTCATAGCTTCCCTTACAAAGTTGTACTTTCTACTCCAGCATCTGAAGGCTCTTTCAGAGTGCCGGGAGCATTTTCTATGTGCAGTTTCAGGCTGTGTCCTTGTTTCTGTCTTGGCTGATATTATTATGCATGGTTTAGGCAGCCCATGGGTTTTCTGACTTTGCAGTAAGACCTAATTTCAAACTCACACATGCAAAAAGGGCTGTAGAAGTCTTGTTAGAACTGTAAAATAGGTGGGTGTGGCCTGTGGGGTGAAGCCTAGATCTACTCTGTGCTGTCCAGCTGAGGCAAAGAGAAAGGCCCCGGTGGGGAGAGGGCTCTGTGAGCTGGGGGAGGCAGCCACATCAGATATCTCAATTCCCTAGTGCTTGGCATAGTGCCTGGCACACAAGGGGCACCTGGGAAATATTCTGTTGAATCACAACAGATTCTACCACCGGATCTGAGATGACTTATGTGATTGGGACCCTGGGCAAGTCAGTTCACCTGAGGACTTAGTCCCTGCCTATAAGGTATGTTCTTGCATAGCATGTTTAATATGTTTTTTATTCCTCTGACTAGTCTGTTTTACAGATGGCTTGGTTAAAAATAATGGGAACTCACTTTGTAAACTAAAGCTTCTAGAGACACTTAAAGAATGAAAAATTTAAAAGATGGTCTCTAGTGTGGTTACTTCTCAAATATGACTATTATTAATAATTTATTGGCTAATAGAACTACATTTTCTCATTATCATTCTTCTGTTTTAGAAGTGGACAATCACAGTTTTAAGCATTCATGTGTGTTTCCATGAGAGACAATAAAGGCACTTAATGAAAGAATAAAATATGCAACCTGCAAACATTTTCACTTTTCCTAAATTGGGTCCTTGAGCAGAAGTAGGTTGCCCACCTTTGACATGGAAAGTTTGCTTTGCTTTTCAACTAGAAGGAGACAAAAAGCTGGGAGAGGTGACTTCTGGAAAGAATCCAGAATCTAGATTTAAAAAGATCTTGTTGGTACAATGCCAAGTAGAAATTATGCTCATGTTAAAGGCATATACCTCCTGCACTAATGTTCAAATGACCCATGGCATGAGGAAAGGCTGGGAGAGCAGCTTAACAGCCTCCAATGTGGAAAGTTTCTGGGGCTTTGTTCTTATTGAGATCAGAACGAGCCCATGGTGTGATGTGACAGTTAGTATAACAGACAGAGCTGATATCAGTGTTGGCTTCCTGAGTGTGACTGAAGTGTCCAGAACAAAGGAAACACCACCTGCTCTCCTCTGTCATGGCTGGCCATGTGGAGCTCTATGCTCCCTACTGGGAGAGCAGGGCTAAACTTGTGGTCATTCGGAGCAGCAGATGATGGGGTAGGGCCAGGGCAATGTGAGATTTGAAGGAATTGGGATGAGCGGCTTAGAAAAGGAAAAGCTGTCTTTGAGCACCATTTCAAATGTTGCAGGAATTGGTAGATAGACTGATTTTGTATGGTTTCAGAGGGCATGGCTTAGGACCACAGAGCGAAAATTACAAAGAGAAAAATGTCAGGCTTCCAGGAGAGCTGGGTAACAACCTGAGCGAGTCAAAGGAGAATGGCTGTCCAATGACTCAGAAGCACAGGGGGTTTCTCACCCCTGGAAGGGTTCAGAAGGAGGCCAGCCAATAACCATGGAGGGGTGGGGGAAGCTAAAATTAGTGAGGATTCATGTGAGTTTAACAGAGAAACTCTAAGAATCTAGGATCAAGTACATGGGGAAGACATAAAGGAAGCCCCAATATTCTGAGTGATTAAATCAGGTACTTTGTGGCAAGGTTAGGGGGAAGGATCTCTCAAATTCTCATTAAAGGAGTGACAGGTAGCAGCACAGAAGTGCTGGTGGCCTGGGAAAGACCTTCTCCACCAGCACCAGTGGAAGCAATGCAGTCCACACTGCATCCAGCTCACACCATCCATGAACAAATAAAACTGTGAAAGAGGGAGAAAATAGCTAAATTCATGTGTAACTCTCAGGCTTTCAATTTAGCTATAGGAACTGCTGCTTTTTCTAAGGCTAATAGAAATTCCTGAAAGGTCAAAGCCTCCTCTCCTTTTTTGGAGAAAGAGAGAAAGAGCAGGAGGAGAAGAGATGAGGGAAAGGAGGAAAGATAGGCAGAAAGATGGATGTGAAGTGGGAGAGGAAGGTGAGGGCTCTACTACTTGCAGGTTGTATGTTTAGAAGTGCCAGTGTTCCCCTATGGTGTCTTGGTGCCATGTCACTACAGCCATTAGCAGGCTGCCCTTGAGGGTGAGTGTGGCAGGATGGTGTCATGACAAGAGCACTGGGCAGGAAGTTGGTGACCCTCTATCCCAGGCCTATCCCTCACTTAACTTCGGGCTCCTGGGTAAGCCATGGCACCTCTCCAGCTTGGTGTTTCTTTCTGCACAATTCAGAGCTTGACTGGACTACTTGGAATGTTCTCCCCCACTCCTGGGAGCTCTCTTTTTATGACAAGTGGGCATCTGATCCATGGCCTGGCAGAGCTAAGGACTAGGGGTAGGGATAAACCATGATTTGTGTCCTGCCACCTAGTTTCCTACAATTCTGGGAAGTTTAGCCGCCTGTTTGGTAGGGACTTCCCAGCTCTGGGGCAAAGGCTCTCTGGGAACAGACAAGTTGATGTAATAGAGGGAGAGGAGGGAAAAGGGGAGGAGTAAGGAGAGGGTGAGGCACTTACAGCAGGAGGAGATGGGTACACTGATGGCCAGGATCACCCAGGCGATGTCCATCTTGCTCAGGCAGATGGTGGCTCTGTGCTGGGGTTTGTCCCCTTCGGCCACATGGGATATATTCCCTGCTGTTCCAGGCTTCCAGGTCCCGGCAGGGACTAGGCGGTTGAGGAAGTTTCCTGTGGCTGTGGACACCACTGTGGAGAAAGGACTGGGCACCCTGTTGGTTGTGGTGGGGGTGGTTGTAGCCTCCTCCTTGGCTTGGGAAACAGTGCTTTCTGAGCCCCTGGTGGGGAGGGCTGGGGCCTGCGAGGTTGAAGATGTTCCCTGAGGGGTCCCCTTGGAAGGGGCGGAGACACTGGCATTGAAGGCAGCCTGGGTGGGCCCCGCGGTGGCTGTGAAGACCCCAGAGCTGGTAGATGGAGGTCTGTTGATGCCGGGGGTGACAGTAAGCCAGGAGTCACTGTGGCTGGGGCCATCCTGTGGGTCACCGCGGGGGCGCTGAGAAGGCACTGGGGCAGGTTGTGGACTGGCAGGGGCACCTGAGGCTACTGTGGTGTCCGGCTCCCCTCCTTGGCTGGTGAAGGTGGAACCACCCCCCTGGTCTGCTCTGCTAAGGCCTGGCTTGTCCTCTGCAGGCACCAGGGGGGTGGTGGGTGGTGCCCACGAGGTCCTGCTGGGCGCCATGGTTGTGGCCACTGTCTGGGGTTGTGGCAAGGAAGAATAACCCCAGAGTGGGTTCCTGGGAGTGAGGGTGGACAGGTCAGGTTCTATAGACCCTGTAAAGTTGCCTTTGTAGATCTGAAAGATTTTCCCCAGGGGCCGCTTCTGCCCCAGATGTGTGGAGCTCTGATTTCGTCCCCGCTGGCCTTCCTTCCTCCCAGAGTGGTGGCCACTAGGTGCGGGCAGGACAGAGCGTGATGAACTGCTGGTCCCCTTTCGGGAAGAGCCTGGGGGCCTGGGAGGTCTGCGCGTGGTAGCCCGGGTAGGTGCTGTGATGGGACGGCTGGTGGCTCCCGTTGGCTTTGTCAGCAGGATGGTGGCCATAGCTTCCCCCTGGGGATGGCCCTCTGAGTGGGAGGATGTGGTTACCATGGCAGCAGGAAGGGGCCCTGTGGTTAGGGGGCCTTCAGAATGTGGGGTGGTTGCTGTCATCATGATGGTGGAGACGGTGTTTGTAGGAGGGCGTCCATCTGGATGGGGTGTTGTCATTGCCATGGGAGCTGCAGCCTGTGAGGAGGATCCATTGGGATGGGGGGTCAGTGAGCCCACAGAAGTGGGGGCAGTTGCCATGGAAGAATGTCTGGTAGAGCTGAGGGTTGCTGTCACCATGGTGTCTGGGGTGGTGCCTGAGGGGAGGACCTGAAGAGATTCTCTGGGAGATGGTTCCTGGGTGGCAAATACCAGTGCTTCGGTCAGTGCCAAGATCAGGAGGAAGCCTTGAGAGGAAGACAGAGAGAAGAGGTGAAATACCTGGGGCGTTGCTCAGAGCCTGGACCTTCCTTACCCATGAAGCTATGATGCTCTGGGAGCCAAAGGGAACACTGGGAGCATTCCGGAGGTCCACACTGCCACCCTGACCCCCAAGAGCAGCTTCTCAGAGCAGGCTGGGCTGGGTGTGGGAAGGATTATGGCCTCCGAATGCCTGCTGCCCCTCTGCAGCCAGGGAGTGGTCAAGGCCACGTTGATCAGAGGGAGGCTGGCAGCTCTGTGTGAGCCAGCCTGTCAAATGTGGAAGGCTTCTTCGGGCAGAGCTGACCAACTCTTATGCCTTTTTTGAATATTCCATTTATGGACTGGACAAAGGCACAAATTGTCAGACATCTGTTTATTCAATCCCATTCACTGGGCAAGTAAGGAGGATCTCTATCCTCTCCTTGACATTGGAGGACACAAAAATGGACAAAGCAGTCTCTGGCTCTGAGTGAGCTCAAACCAATCCACAAACAATCCTAAAACAAGACAGAGAAATCTCAGTTCCATAGGTCAGTGATAGGCAGAAGGGGATAGTGGTCCGGTGGATGACCAGATCTGGTGCCCACATAGCACTTAGCAGAGAGCTGGAAGAGAAGATGCACTCCAAGAACACCACTTGGTTTTATGGTTGTCATTAATGTTAACTGCTTTTCCTGTGGTGCTCATGTGGCTGAACTCTCTGTGGAAAATCACTGGTGATGCCCAGCCTTTTGAGTAGGAGGACCTCTTTTGCACATTAAAAGAAAATCATGAATTTTGCATGATGATCAGTGTGTATGCTTTTGGTTCATTGAGAAAATGCACAGGAACAAAAATGTATAAATTTAAAAATACTTCTAAATATATGTGGCTTTATTAATCATAATAGCATGTGTCAAACTTTACAAATAATACATCTCATATAAATGTGAGACATAGGATCTGTTCAGATTATAAGCTGGAAAACTGGCCACCCTGGTACAATATATGGGCTGGGAAGAACTGGTCTCAACAGCTGATACGTGGCCTGATCAACTTCTAAGGCCTAATTCTGACCTGTGAATTCCCCCTTTTTCTTATGAAGCCCTTCCTGGTTACTGTCATGTCCTTCCTTCAGCTCTGCTAGCCACCTAGACGATGGTAGAGATCTGTCTCTATCTGGTAACTCTCTGGGAGCCTCCCTCCCCCCCTAGATTCAAGCACTGAATGGCCAAAGCAGGGATCCTGGCAGTGATTTCTATGTATCTGGGATGATCAGCAAAGCTGCAAAGCCCTGGTGAGCTTTCAGAAACAAAGAAGGGGAGATCATCTGGCATGCCTTTGAAACAGGCCCAGGATTACTAGTGAAGCCACCTCTGTCTTGGGTGTGGGGTGGAGTCTGAGTGTGGACCAGCTCACCTCGCCTTGCATTTCTAAATTAGTGGGTGGAGGGAGGCCAAGGGACAAAAGATTGAACAGACTGTAGCACACACAGTCTCTAGGACCAACAATTTGTCCTAAGCAAACTATTTTTTCCTAAACTTTCTTTGGTGATCTAAACCATATATTAACAGTAAGCTCTGCTTATTCAAGTCAATCTTAAAAACTGTTTTCTGAGCATCTGCTCTGGCCCAGTCTTTCATACGTTTTAATCCTCACAATCACTCAATGGGGTAGGAAATTGAGATCTCAGGTAGATTAACGAATGTGTTTAAAGTCCCATCATAGTTGTGGTATATGGAACCAAGCTGTATCTAACATGCATGCTTTTCCTGGTCAACCACCACTGATAATGCAGGAGGAGGAAGTTGCTGTGCTGCAATGCTCTGACTGGTTCAGGGTTATTCCAACCCCTCTCTTGCAGCCAAATACCACAGGGACAATCTGTTCTTAGGGCTGGGAGTCTTAACCTCTGACGTTTTGAGGGACATTCTCTTACAAGCCTATGTTTTGCTCATGAGTCCCTTAGTTCAGTATAAGTGTTAAAGATTGAACTGTGTGTCCCCCAAATTCATTTGTTGAAGCTCTAACCTCTAGTATCTCAGAATGTCACTGTGTTTGGCAATAGGGCCTTTAAGGAGGTTATTAAGTCAAAATGAGGCCTTTAGGGTGGTCCCTAATCTAATCTGACAGGTGTCTTTATAAGAAGAGGAGATGAAGACCCAGAATGATACCAGAGATGCTTGGACACAGAGGAAAGGCCACCTGAGGACACGGTGATAAGGTGGTCATCTTCATGTCAAAGAGAGAGGTCTCATCAGAAGCCAATCCTGTCAGTAACTCGATCTTGGTCTTCTAGCCTCCAGAACTGTGGGAAAATAACTTTCTGTTGTTTAAGTACGCCCAGCCTGTGGTACTTTGTTATGCCAGCCTGAGCTAAGACAGATGTCTTACATTAGAGATCCTCAGAAAAAGGAAAGGCAGAGTTGTGTTCAGGTAGTATATTTTGGGAAGTGATTTGAGGGGATGACCATGGCAGTCTGAGATGAGTCAAACAGAGAAAATCAATCTGAGGGCAGGTTATGAGTTGATCAAATATGATACTCATATTTGCTGGGTACCTCTGAGGGGCTGAGTAGACTGTACCTCAAACTTTCTATGTGAGAGGAGCATTTGCTTTCCAACTGCATTCCAGCAGTTCTTGATGTGGGAAACAAAGGCAGAAGAAAAATTAAATTTCCTTACTACTTACAGCCCATTGACAAATCCTTGAAACAGGCAGTGACATTTCTCTAGGAACTCAGCTGCCTTGATGTTAATATTTTGCTAAGGGCAAGAGGCAATCTTATCCCAATCCCCCAAGATCCTGTAAGTCTTCTTTAACACATAAAGATTCCTTTGGAAACTTTTTCTCTATCCACCAAGATACATGTTAGCAATCATCCTTCAAGCATATGGCCCACTGATATACATCTGAAGGGTCTCATGACTGAGTTTTTTCTAAACAGTAATAAACGACCTTTCCCTAACACTGGCTAGCCCCCTTAGGATCTTGGAAACCTTGTTTCCAAAATACCTTGGAGGCTGTGCTGTCCCTGATCCCCTCTCAACTTGAAAGTATATAATGAGTCACCCATCACAACCCCAGTGCAGCTCTTTCTGCCCATGGGTCCTGTCCCCGTGCTTTAATAAAATCACCTTTCACATCAAAGATGTCTCAAGAATTCTTTCTTGGCTGTTGGCTCCAAACCCCACCACTTCCTACATCACTCCCAATCTCCACTGGCTCAGGGCTACTTCACTGGTGCTCATTCCTCTGTATTCCTTTCTTCTGCATGAGGCCCATGGCCAATGTGGCTTAGTCAGAGAAGCCCCAGGCAAGGGGATATCAGGGTATGCCTGTGCCCAGCTGGTGGCTGCTGCAACAGCTGGAGTTAAAATTAAGGGCCCTTGGCTTCCTGGGCTAGAACATCAGATATGTGAGAGAAAATCAGAGACCAGAGACCAAGGACATGGAAATCTTTTGGCAGCAGCACTAAGGGCAGTGCAAAGCTTACAGACCCCGAAAGATCCCAGTGACAGGTGGGAGAGGAGCCACCCTGGCCTCCAGAAGAGCTTTTGCAGCACTCTAGAGGTAGAAGGGTTAACACATCGTAGTCTGTAAAATACTAGGGAAAGAAATGCTCTTGACTTTCTCACCAGGAGCATTCCAGGGGCTAAAATCCTCCTAGCTGGGAAATATATGACTACAATCGTTCTTGCTTTAAGACTTACTGTGTAAATAAATATTTGCCTTTGTTGCTCCCTTCTCCCTTTTTAAAATTAATTCCTTGAGGTTATTTTTCTTTCTAGGAAGACTGTTAAATTACCTCTCAGTCCTTCTTCTTTAGACTTTAGAGTAAACCTTTGTTTGGTACAATGAATGGGTATTGCCATCTGGGTGCCAAGAATTTTCATTTGGAGGATGACGTTTAGCTGTCACAGTAAGAGGGGCCCTAGAGGTAACTTAATCAAATTCCCTCATTTCACACAGGGGGCAATGGAAGGAGCAAAGTGACTCGTCCAAAAACACACAGCAAGTTGGGGGCACAACCTGGACCACATCCACTATTTCAAAGCAACTTTTCATTTGTATTATAAAAATTGCTACAATGTTGCACTGCACAAACACCTCCTTCAACCTCCACTGTCATTTTCACTGAGAAAATCAGACATGACTTTACCTCTCCTCTTTGGCATAAAAGGTTAATAACTGAATGAAAGGGCGCATACTGTCACAATAACTCTGCAAGGCCTTCAACCTGGGCTTTCCCTAACAGATGCAAATTTTCATTCAAGTCCCTTTGTGTTGGCCTGCTACTCTTCTCCCCACAATCTGGGGCTATTGCCTCTTTGCATATAATTTGCATAGATTTGCATAATAGCCTCAGGAGGCTCTAATGCCAAATATGTGAGAGAGACTAAAACTAAAATTTAGCTTGACATGCTTTAAATGTGGAACTGAATTTTAAAGCATCTTGGAAAATGGACAAGCGTAGGGTGTGGAAACCCACAGACTGATGGGTGTCCAGATGTTGCAGGAAGGCCTCCTCCTCCCTAAAATTCCAATGTGTACATGATCCCAGGGCCCAAGAAAAGGAAAGGTCCTCCTCCTTCTGTTGATTTGGTTGGCTGCCCACAGTGCATATTGGGCATGATACTTGCATCTGGCAAAGGCAAGGAGGAAGCCGGTGAAGGGAGAAATGGCTAATTTAATGTATGAGGTGCTTCCTATATGCCATGCACTGCTTGAAGGGCTAAGCCTGTCCTGATATATTTAATTCCCAGAATACCCTGATGAGATAGGTACTATCAGTAACTCATTATTGCAATTGAGGAAAAGCAGCATGGAGAGGTACAGGAACCTGTCTCCTTTCACACAGGTAGGATATGGTGAGCCGTGATTTGACTTGGCACCTTGGCTTCATGGTCTACACTCTTAGGGGCACTTGGGTGGCTCAGTTGGTTAAGCATCTTACTCTTGATCTCAAGGTTGTGAATTCAAGCCCTGCACTGGGCTCCACAC